TCATCCTGAAGTTTCTGAATGCTCTGATATAGATTTCAAACATTACTCCAAAAGTGGGCTCCTGTTCAAAATATGCGGATGCACCACTGTCCACCCTCACACCTTAATGTGGTTTAACAGGATACATTAGCTTTTAATGGCACTTAATTGTACAAAAAGGAAATCCATAACCACATAAGGAGAAAAGTCAAGTATTTCCAAGCTCTTTATAAGAACAATTTAGAGCAGACAAGTGCTTTTCAAACCTTGGATTGGAATCAGTCCGACAGTCTGGCCATGAGAGTGGTGGTGCGCATTTGTAAGCCTACAGTGCCACCATTTGGTCATGTTGGGGAGCGTCACTTGCCAATCTTAAAATAACAAATTATGTTTGGTTATGCATCAAAAGTCCTGTTTAAAAAAAAGAAAGAAGAAATAATTAAACAATAATCTTACAGTTGCCACAGTAAGAGTTTTAACTCTGCACTGAACCAGTTTTCAGGAAACAGTGGCTCTGCGGAGGGCTTCAAACTCTGCCTCAGCGTCGGGTATATGATTTCAAACATGAGCTGGACCCGAACTCCTTCCAGGTGCCAAATTAGAGAGGAAAAGATCCAGTCCCATTGTTAGTGTTGATAGATTATCGTAGGTCCGTGCCATCTTAGATAACGAGCAATAACCTGCTCTTCAAGAACAGGGGAGGTTTGCCAAGAAGGAATGGTGATTACAGTCAATTAAGACTGATGACAAAGCACCAATAATAACCCAGTGTGTGTGTGAGCATGTGTGAGCTTGTTTTATTCACTCATTCTTCCAAACTACCCTGTTTTGTGTAATCAACATCTGTTGTGACAGGCACCCTCCTCCTTTCTCAGAATGGCCCACTTCAGATAATGAGTGTCATACCAAACTGCAGGGCGAAGGCTGATTTTACTCCTCTTTTTACTCCTCCTCTTTGGCCTCTGCTCTCACTACCCTCTGTTTTCCTCTCTATCATTCAAGACATCCATTGTTGGGAACCTTGAAAACGAGAGACAAATGCTTTCACAGCATTGTCAGTGCTGGATATGTGGGGGTGACAGAAGAACAGAGTGCAGTCTTGTTTTCTTTAATGAAAGCGATGCTTCACCGTTGACTAAATTTCTTGTTAATGTCTTTATTTTACATTCACAATTTTGTTTTTTGGTATTCAGACAAAACATGAGAACTTATGAGATTTTTCCTACAGATTATTCTGTTATTGCCATTTAAATGGATTCTGTCAGTCTTATCTACACCGATGCGCCTGCATCTGCAGACCTATGGCTATGAAGCATATTTACTCCTTGGGAAAAGAAAGAAATCCAGATCTGCAGCCTTTGCAGCTCAGCAGGTTTGTTTGCATCAGTGGTTTAGGCGCCATCTTCTGGTAAATTAGGCCAACTCGAAGAACCCAGGATGGATGGTTGTGAGGACAATAATTAGAAAACAAAAAACTAGTATTACATAACGTCATAAAGGATCTTTCCATATTTAAAAAAGTTTCCACCTGACCCCTCAGAATCACATAAAATTAAGCCATTTGAATTTTAAACTCATACTATGAGCATTTCCTGAGTTACAGCCTCTCAGTCCACCTCATTCACCTTTTTCTACAGAAAGTTTGAGCAAAGCTTGTACAACCAAATCTTTATGAAAGTCCACAAGTTGGTAAATATTCATAGCACAAATTTTACATGGCTTCATTAAATACACTACACATTGTTCTAGAATATTTGCAGATCCTAAGGTGGGAAGTGCCCCATGATTTTTCATATGTAGCGGTGGCACGGTAGTTGTATAAACCTTTATTTTTTCACATAAGGCTAAAAAGATTTTAAGCCTGCAGTCGGATCTGTGTTTTTAATCAGTTACTAAGAAGTGTAAGTAAAATCATTTTAGGTCAGAATTGCTTACAAAATGAGACAGATTAGTTCAGACAAGTAAAAGTGTGAAACTGCACTGAATGTCACTTTAGTGGGTTGATTAATAAATCTATCCATGTTCTTCAAACTTAATATTTATCTCAGAACGATGTTCTGAAAAACATAAAACCTAGTAGTGTCATGAGTACAGTGAACTCTTTTTAAGGTATCATAACCGTGAGAGTACTTAAAACTACAGAAAAGCTTTGCTGTTTTGAAACTACCTTGTATTCTTATATTAATTCATCAAAACCTCCAGTTTAAAGTGTCAAGTGGCAGCAGCTGGAATGAGCAGTGAAGCTGTTATACTTTCATTCTCTTTTTAAGTGTCACCATAGCAGGGTGTGAATATCAAAAAATGCAAGTCCTTTTAATCTGAAAGTTGGGTTCCACGGTTCATTTTTAACTTCACTCTAAAAATTAGTGCATTCAGCTCTGAGAGTTTGCAGGAAGACATGAAATATTTTGAATACACCCTCTGACGTGTTCCCAGGCTTCCAACTACAGTGAGATAAAGTGCAGGCTTGTGTCTGCTTTTATACATATACAGCAGAGGAAATAATTAATATTAATGATCATTTACCAAGAGGCAGCCAAGAAACCTAAATGACTTAAAGTTCCTCCTGAGATGCAAGCAAACCTGGTGACCAACTACAGCAAAGGTCTCACCAAGGGTTTCTCCACCGCGCACTAAATGATGACTTCCTTGAGGATCAAATATTTATTTCACTTGGTTTAATGTGTTAAACCGAATTTGATTTAATGTGTTTTTTTCCGGACTTTTGGTTGATATTCTGTCTCCTTCCAAAAAGTGAAACTACCAGACAAAATGAGAAGCTGTAAAAAATGACCGACTGAGTGAACTGGGATCTACGTGCAGAAAAGCCAAAGAAAAAGCAAGATTAAGACCTAAAAAGAAGAAACCAATATATAGTGGGCCAAGGAGCAGCATGGATGAAAGTGATGTTCAGTGCCGAATGACAAATCTGCAGTGTGAAACATTTAAAGACGACTACCTGAACAAATTTCCTGGCTAATGGGGTTGCATATCAGGTAAAGTACCGGGCGGCATGACCATCATTAACTCAGCACTATTCACACAGGATCACACTTGCGCGTTGGGCATTTTTCTCATCTGACAGAAAGTAGGTTTGGTGATAATGAAGCCATTTTTCAGGATCATAATGCATCTTGCTGCAGAGCAAAGAGTGCTCAAAAAGGCAGCTAATATCAACTTCGTGCCATGGGCAGCAAACAGTCTGGATCCAAGTCTGATTGAAAATTTATGGTGGAAATTGAAAAAGTAAATTTCCATAGTGAGTATCCATGCTGGAAAGCTGATCTGCCAGCCGCTATTTGGGAAGGCTGGTTGAGAGACCAGGTTGATACAGAATATTGCTTTTCATTAGTGAAATCCATCCATGCCTCAGAAAAATCAGGCTGTTATGAAAGCCACAGGAGATGCAATAAATGATTAATTTAGGTGTTTTTGTAGATTACGCCATCATTTTCCCCTCAACATCGAGTGTTTCCGTTTCTACTTGATCTGAAAAAATATAGCGTTAATTAAAATAATTCCATTTAATTTATTTGAGGCATGTTTGGCTGTTAGACAAAGAAGAAAAGCAATAAGAGTGAAGGTTGAAATGATGCTACTGAGACCTGCTAAGATGTTTGATTTGAAGATGGTGGAGCTGACAAAAAGACGAGTGTTAAGGTTTTTATTGAGTGTGACCAGGATGGAGAAGATTAGAAATGGCTACGTCAGAGGAGTGGTTCAGGTTGAGCACTTTGGGAACAAAGTTGGAGAGGCGAGGTGAGATGATTAGGACATGTGCAGAGGTGGGATAGAGCATATACTGGACACAGTGGACAAAGGATGCTGAAGATGGAGCTGGTCGGCGGGAGGAAAAGAGGAAGACCTCAGAGAAGATTTATGGATGTAGTGAAGGAGGACATGCAGAGGGCTGGTGTGACAGAGAAGGATGGAGCCAGGTGATTCCCTGTGATGATCCCTAAAGGGAGCAGTTGTGTCATAATTGTGATTTGTTTATGTCCTTCAAAAAGTGGTGATTTCATTTGTCAGTTACCCTTAGTTTTGATATTACTTTCATTTATTTTATTAATATGTGTGAACATACGCACCGTGTCCCTCTCTAGCTTTAGTGTTAGAGACTAAAAGGGAAAGCATTCTGTACATTCTTTCAAATCTTATTTTAGTTAGTGTTTCAAGAGCATATTATTTTAGTTTGTTTTTGTTTGTTTGGGTTTGTTTTTCAACCCAATTATACATTTATACTTCAATTCACTAATTATACTTCACTCACCTGATGACCTTGTGTTGGACAAAATGGGCAATCACTACTTTATCTTTAATTTTCATGAAACAAATTCTAATTTGCAAGCACATTTCTGTTTGTTGTTGTTGTTGTTGTTATGCCAAAAGGTGATTTATGAAACAGGATTTATGACTGGGGTCATATATAAAAAAAATAAAGAAATTACCTCTTTTACAAGTATCTTTATGAGTCTGAGTTATTGTACCTACAAAAAAAAAATCAGAACTGTGATATTATCCTTGTTACAATTTCCTCTTGGTTCGATCTCTTGTAAAACACATTTTTAATTTGAATGACATTAAAATAAAGAATAAACTTTCTTTCTGTTCTTTCTGTTTAAAAATGTCTTAATATCATTCATGAAAGACACGTTGAACATAGGCCAACAAGTCATTTACAACAGTTTAAATACAGACAATCATTTTGGGGAAAATATGGAAATCACTTTTTCTTATCAGTGTATATAGTATCATGAATATCCATCCACTGCTCCTCTACTGTAGTGTTTTACCTTAGACACCAGAGGGCGCTTGGGAGCTATATCAGCCCCCTTTTATCAAAATAAAGAGGTATACAGTCTCACAGTCCCATTTTTAAACTAAAGCTTGCTGCCAATACTCAAACTTTTAGACAGGACAGTGCACTCAAGCCCACTACTATCAGTTTCTGAAATTAAAGTAGACAAACTCCTCCGTGGTGCTTTGAAAAGTCTGTTCTTAACCTAGAAAACTGAAATGAGTAACCTTACTTCTAGCAGGGACGGAGAGTAAAGCTGAAGGTGCAAGGTGTAAAAGACATAAACACGGAGGCGTATTCATGAGGTCTAACCACGCCTCCGTTAGACTGCGCTTCCGTGTTTACACACCCACAAAAATAGGAGACTCCAGCGGCCGTCGGGCGGCTGTTTACCGAGCAAGCAGAGTAGCAGTGAGGAAAGTGACAGCCACACGGGAGGCTCGGTGTATGGTGAAAGACAGGTGATTTCAGCTTCCACGGTCGCATTTTAAAGCGTAATGTTCACTCGAAGGGGGCATGGAGACGTCAAGAAATCTACACAGAAAGTTCTGGACCCAAAGAAGGATGTGTTTACCCGGTTCAAACACCTCCGGACTCTGTTAGGTGAGTGAAATGTCATCGGGGAGCTGGATGCTGCATCGTCGAGGCTTAGCTAAGTGGAGCTAGCTAGCTGGCACCAGCCGACCTGCTAACGTCAAACAAGGCGTCAGGTCAGCTGGCTGCTTAGTGCGAGTCCAGCCGGCTGACCTGTAACATGCATCTGCATTATGCCGGTACCCTCTGCTGTTTGAAGTCTTTGTTCATTTAAAATATGAGACAAATCGCACTGTGATGAGGCATGGATGCTAGCTAATACAAGCTAGCTCCCCTGCGGCTACCTAGCCAGCCAATAATGCTAACTGATGCAGGGAAACAGATGCCGAGAACAGGGTTTGCTGCTCTTCGGTCCTGTGCCATCATTATAGTGTTAAACACGTAACTGAAGCTTCGTCATTCAGCATCGATTCGCACAGGTTGAAGTCTCTGTTTGGACTTTTGGAGAGAAGACAGGGCTTTCTTACTGCAGGTTACCTTCCCGAGTTTCAGTCAACTTGCCTCTACCTTTTTTTGAGAAATTTGACATGATATTGACATAAACGTGTTACACAAGAGCAGTCGTTTATTTTAATCCACTGGACAAGGAAGTGCAGAATTTATGAGGCTCATAAAACTGTTGTCTTCTTGCGCTGCGTTAATAAAAAAGAGACACGACTATGTTCTGCAGTCACCTGACTTGTGTTGTCCATACGAGCTGTTAAACGGTCTGAGTTTGCACGGCTTGTTCCATTGATAAACTGTAATAATGACAAGTGAATGCTGAATCTACACTGATTTAAGCAGAACCGATGACGTGCAAGTTGTACATTTTATCATGCCGAATCATATCAAAGACAAAATAAATGCAGTGCTGGAATTTGAAGGCACCATCATCCTTTTTATAAATGAAGAGCGCATCCATTGGCTGAAAAATATATGTGATAGGCTAATATCTGGTGATATGTCACTGGTGTATTATTGGTTTCTCGTGTTTGGAACTTAAACGTTGTATTAGAGGCAAGGAGGTCAAATGTTACAGTCGCCTCCCATCAGAACTCTGTTGACAACATCATGAATGCTGTACTATATCTTGTGCTCTTCTGTTATTCTCCGTGCTTTGTCAGTAATCGAGGTCAGTGTGGAGAAGAACAAAGAGATCTGGAGAAAAACTGCAATCTGCTCACTCTGAGTGCAATAAATCATGTCTTTCAGAAATATCATTCAAAGTAGGTCATGTATGTGTATTTCTTGACGTGGACCACACAGAGGTGAACATCTAGGCAGTTAATTTTCTCTTGTTTTTATTTGATGATTAATGGTTATATCCCCAGAGTAGCTGGAAAACAGATGCAGTAAACACAGTTTCTTCTCTTGTTTTCATTTAGATTTTATTTTATTTATTTTTTTACATAAAGCTTTGAAAAATATTGGAAACCTTTTTACATATTGTCCCAAAATACACACGATGACTGATTTGGGTAAGTTTTAGTTACAGTAAACACTAATTGCTTTTAGTTAGAGCACTTTTAGAGCTTCTAAAGTTTGGTATGTCTGTGGTGGCAGTGGTATTCAGAGGAAAGTCCGAGCACGTTTGCCATGTTTAGAGTTTAAACCATCGGTTCATTGACACGTGCCTGCTTGTAACCTTTTCATATAGTGACTTGTTATCCAATTTATTGATCCTCAGTACTGCAGCAGGATTGTAATAGCCACTGTCAGCCTAACAGTTGTAGCTTGAGCAAAGCTGTGGGAAGTTGATATGGTTGAAGTTTTTTTGCTATCATAGCAAACTTTCAATGTCAAGACTAGTACAGCCAAGGTGGAGGTCAGCACAGTGCTCTGCCTGCCATCTGTGTTTTTCTTTCCCTCATGTGCAGCTAAAGATAAGGCTGGTCTGTTTGTCCAGCAGCTGATAGTTGGGCCGACGTTGCAATGTCCCCCAAATTCCCAGATTACACCGAGCTTGCAGTTCAGGAAGGATTTCCTCCTGGTTCTGCTGGTTCCTGTGTGGCAGGAAGCTTGATGAGAGATGGGGGTGAGGTGGAGGACAGGGCAGGACAGGGACTTGGATAGAGCTGACCTTCTTTCACCAATCACGCTGTTTTATCTTTTTGAAATATTTAAATGTTATTATTCATAACACTAGCAAGAGAAGACATTTCCAGAGGCGGCAGGCTGGAACAGCTTCTGGTGGGAGGAAATTTAATATGTAGCTTCTTGTTAAACTTTACAACCTGTATGTCAAGCATCCACAGCTGGGGTTTACCACACTTATTTACTATGTTCCAAGGAGAAGATACCATTAAGGCACAGTTTGTTTTTTAATGACTCTTATGTTTTCAGTAATCCTTTAATTTCTGCACAGAAGTTTTCAACCCGCTCGTCTTCTCTCAAGGTCATTGTCTATTAAGTTATCCAAAATTTGACCTCTTTATGTCATTGCAACACCAGAAATTTGGTAAACAGGCTTGTTAAATCAGTGGTACTATCAGCAGTATTGTACTTGAAAGGACAATCTGTGGTCTGGGCTATTTTCAGAGTGGCCCTCTATTGGTTTTCTGCTCACTGAGCCGATCTGTGGGATAGAGTGTGAAAGCTGCTGCATGTTAATTTGCTGGTCATGCCTGGCTGCATTTGGCTGAGGTTGTTAATTACAGGAGCCCAGCAAAACCACCTGATCACTCACTGCTTCACACACTTGTGGCACCAACCGCTTTTCCTTTGACTTCTCTCTGTGCGAAGTCTTTCTCATCCTCGGCCCCCACCTGCTGAGCTCGCTGTGCATCCCAGTGCTCCAGGTTGTTCATAGTGACCTGGAGTATGATGATGAAAGTGTAGGAAATCCTTCATTGACATGAATGTAAACAACAGTGTTTGTCTGGAGGAATACCCATTGTATCCCCGGGGCAGTATTTCTTTTTTAGTGCCAAGTCAGCTATAAACGAGTCACGCTGCTGCATTTGAAGCTCGTAAATGTTTAACTCAAAGCTTTTTGTTTGTGAGGACTTGAGACCGGGTGCCTTGGTTGAAGGAGTAAATTAGCTGTTGTTTCTTTACTTTTCAGCTGGTGTAAACAGGCTCAGCTGGAATCTGCTTGTGAACTGCACTGGAACAAGTGTTGCCAGTGATAACACTCAGGTGTGTTTGTTGTAGGTCTTGGTATTTTTAAGTTTGCAACCAAAGGTAAACCTGGGGAAAAAATGAAGCTCTGTACTCATCGTTCACAAAAAATGAAAATGGTGTCATTACACTCTGCCTTTCTTCGTGTGCTGTTGTGTGGGTCGGGGTCAACTGAAAGTGCTGCTGTTAGAGGAGGAAATCACAAGTTGAAGCACCAGGGGGGAACAATGAGCACAACACTGGAAGTGCTCTCAAGAAGGTCCTCTGTGTGGCTGAAGTAAAGGCTGAGATCACTTGACTTCTGATTCTGCCCCATTTGTACAACACTCAGGTTAGACTTGTGAACAAGTCCAGCCTCTTACCATCTTTTATCCCACACTGCGTAGGCAGGATATCAACACTTAAAAAGTGTAGTGCAGTTCAATGCAAGTGTCATATTAAACTGTCCTTTCAGGATTTTATTAACCTTTCACAGTCTTGAGTTTTGTTTCTTATTTTCATGCTATCACCAACTAAACTTGTATCCGAGTCATCATGGATGATTAAAGCTTTTTGACACTAATTGGCATAAGTGGACTCTTTAATGTTACAAGTAAAATAAATCTGACCACTTTTAAACCAAAACATTTACCTGGTTTCCAGATAAATGAAGAAGTATGCAGAAAGAAATCATTGTTAGTTCCCTGTCAGATAAACTGTTAATATAATGATGTTAGAAGCATTGTGTGCTGCTTAGATTAGATGGCAGCTTTAACAGCTCTGTAGTGTTGCCTATTACAGCAGCACCTCCTCTCATAATGGTCTAGGCATTTAGCATCTTAGCACGTACTTAACACGTGCTAAATGCCTTATTAAGAGAAGCACAGAGATGCTTCAGAATAGAAATGAGGAATATCTAACACTGTATAATCATGGAATAGTGTAAAGCTGCCTGATTTGACTGTACATTATAAATTGTTGTAGACTTTATCAGTTAAATTTATATTTAATATATATTTGCTCATAAAGGTGAATGGTTTTTAACTGCTTTATATTAGTTGATAGGGTCGGCAGGACTATGACTCTGTCATGGATATCAATTATTTATTGTGTTGCAGTGATATCTACCAAGGTGGTCATGTTAACCACATGGTTTATTTAGGCTGGAGGGGAAGATCTATTTCCTTTCATAAAGTCTATAATTTTTACTGTCTTGTTAATCAAGAATGGGAGCAGCTACTGGCATCAACAGGTAGACGACGCTTCTGCAGCAAAACAGAACTTAGCCATGCAGGTTATCAAATAGTCACTTCTAGATGTTATTGTTACTTACTGTGCTGCTTCACTGATTTAAGTACCCTTTGAGTCAGTAATAAAACCCAAATATGTGTATATCATGGTGCAGTTGATCGTAATGAAAGTGTCAGCTTCAGTCTCTCGGGGCTATTTATCAGAAGCAGCATCGCCCCCCCTCCCTAGAGACAACTAGACTTCTTAAAAATCGATCCTTAAAAGAAGAGATTGGATTATAACTGTCATGATCTCAAAAATGTAAAAGCAGCAAGCAGATGTGGACAAAAACAGGTTTGTTTTTGTCCACATCTGCAAAAAGGCTCATGTGAGCCTATTACAGTGTGAAAAATGGCTGATGATCTAACAGATAGCTGCTGGGCAGACGAATGTAAAACCTCATCCACGTATTTGTTTTAGATAAATCAGTGGAAGAGCTTTTTTTAAAAGAAGTTATAGAGGAACTAAGGTAAGCTGGGGAAAAAGCTTTAGTTCTACATAAAGACTGAGTTATCTGGCCACACACAGGAAGCAGGTGGAAGGTGAAAAACGAGTGTTTTGACCAGTAGTTGTCAGAGTCACTCTGGTAAATGAATGATGATTTATTTATTCATTAGCTACATTGGAACAGATCAGAG